AATGCATGTATTCTGAAGCTAGCAATGTTTTTACCCATAAGCTTGTATGGTTGCGAAAACCTAAAACTTTGGAATTCACAGACAATCTTAGCCATTATAGATGACCCAAAGAAATTGTCATTTATCGAGAAGTTGGTCACGTGTACCGGCAGGTTTCAAGAAAGAAAGAAGTCAAAGTCCGGTCGAGCCAAAAGTTATGGTATTGAGAGTGTTAGCTGGGGTGAACTGGTCAAATGCTCTGTACCCGAAACGAAATCGAGTTCTATTGAAATCAAAAGATATGAGGTTCCTTCGAAGAAGAAAATGCGTTAAATTGCACATTGCATACATTTTAGGCATGAATAGGATCATGACATTGCATGATGACTTAAATATTTACAGGTTTCCCAGCGATCGTTGAAGATTGTTCGAGTCTTATACTCTCTGAAGAAATGGGGAGCAGACGCGATTGTTGAAGTTTGTTCGAGTCTTATACTCTCTGAAAGAATAGGGAGCAGACACGATGTTGAAGATATTCGAGTCTCATACTCTCTGAAAGAATAGGGAGTAGACACGATTGTTGAAGATTGTTCGAGTCTCATACTCTCTGAAGGAATAGGGAGCAGACACGTTTTCAAAAGATTTTCGAGTTCTATACTCCTGAAGAAAGTGGGAGCGAACCGTTTGCAGAAGATTTTCAAGTTCTATACTCCCTGAGAAGAGGGAGCGAACCCGTAGGCAAAAGATTGTACGAGTTTCTACTCCCTGAAGGAATAGGGAGTGAACATGTTTTCCAAGGATTTTTCAAGTCTCACCCCGGGGGAGGAGTGGAGCATATCCCTCATCAAATTTTGAAGCAAGAAGATGGAATTGGACAAGAACACCCAAGTACAATATGAGTCGTCCGAGCCATTTTAAGCTTTCTCAGAAGAGTGTTGGAGCAAACCATCAGATAAAAAAAAAAGTCGAATATTCTCGGGTTTGTGCAAGTGAGATGGAAGCAAAGGTAAAAGAAGACTGAAGAAAGGAAAAATGATGTTGCAATTGGACAAAATTAGGTCATTATTTGTCTTTGCTACGTTCTTCTGGTCATAACAACGAGCAAAGAGGGGCAGCTGTAATACCCTAATTTTGTCCGGGCAATTTAATTCATTTAGAGATGCTTGAGAATTAATTTGGAGGTAATCGTGCTCAAATGAGAATTTAATTCAAATGATGAATGGAAGCTTGCATTTTGGGGACAACATGAAAATCAAGAAACTTTTGTGCTTAATTGGATTGATATCGTATATGTTTCATTTTGGAGATCGAGATACAAATTGAAATTCAACCCCAAATTAAGGTTTAAAGTCCACTTATAAGTCCAAAATAGATTACAAATATTTATAGACCAATTAACCCAAATTAATGACAAGCTCAAGACAAACCCAAGACCCGAGCACCCCACGTGAAGACCTTGTTCTGCTCCATAACACCCGGTCACTAGCTGTGCAAATCTCTCCCACGTGATGCACCGCAATTGATCAGCATCCATGGCTCCCACGTGGATCATTCCAACAACAACCCCCAGAAGCCCATGCTGCTCACGCGTGGAGACAAGGTTCGACCCGAACTGCTGCCCATGCTCGCTACGGCATCATCCAACCTCGATATGGAACACCACGCCTTACTCCATTCACCAGAACTGGGCAGCTCGGTTCCCCAATGCCACTAGCACCATAGTCGAGCAACCCGTGCCCATGCTGCTGAAGCCCCGTGACAAGCTCGCGCCCGTGACCTGCTCGTTCCAGAGCCCTGCAAGCGCACCAAACGAGAGCAGAAACAGACAAAAACAAAACTAGAGAAGACGAGATCAACTAGAAATAACGAAAGGGTGGTAACAGCTCTCTCTCGGTCATCGGCAACAGAGGAGAACGAAAAAACAAAAAAACAAAAAAATCTCTTAGACATCAAAAAAGAAAACAGAAGAGAACCCAAAAGAAAAAAAATGAGATACCCAGAAGATCATTCATCAACAACCAGAGAACAAAACGAAAGAAAAAAGAAACTCACCCATCCAGAAACCTTCGTCGCCCTTGCTAGGAACCCACGACCCGTCTGAGATAAGGTAAACCCTTCGTTTTTTTGCTCGTATCCAGCAGAGCATGTCGGTTTTAAGCCATGTTCTTTAGGATTTTGAGGGGTTTTCTAGGTTTGTGTCAGGGTTAAGAGAGGAGGCCTGTGGTGGCCACAGGTTGGCTTGATTAGGTTTCGAATGTTTGATTAGAACTTAGGTTTTGGGGTCGTGGTTTGGTCCGTGAGGGACTCAAGGAGAGGGTAGGGGTTTCGTCGGGGCTTTTCACCGGAGTCATTTATAGGTGGCAGCCACGGCGGCTGCCACGGTCGGGGTCTAAAGGCAGGGATGAATAAGGTAAAGGGAGGAGTTTTGAGAGGCTTGGCTTAGATCTAGGCCTAGGTGGTTACTCTTGAGTGGAGGAGAGAGCTCGGGCCGCATTAGACTCCTCATCGGAGCACTAAACGGCGGAGGCTGCGGCGGCTGATAAGGTTTCTGTTAGGGGTGCGAGATCGAGGAAGAAGGTTGAGAGAGGGAGAGGGAAAATGACTGAGATGGGGGTTATCTGGCTTAAGGCTAAGGAGAGAATGGATGAGGCTTAAGGTTTACCCTAATCACCATATGTCTAGTAACAGAAACGGCGTCGTTTAGATGTTTCCAAAACGGCAGCGTTTTGATGGGCAGGGGTGAACCGGGTTTTAGAAGATGGGCTAACATTGTATTAGGTCCTTCCTCCTTTGTTTCGTTCCGTTTCAATCCCTGAATCGAGCTTTATTATTATTCTAATTTTGTCTCTCAATTTACAGAGCATTTTATTTTAGTCCAGTTACATGTTTTGGCCATTTTTGTGCAAATTTGACATTGGATATGTAATTTCGGAAATGGGCATTGTGATCCTGCATGGCACTTTTGTAATATTATGCTTGCAGTGCATGGAAATGAAATTTTTGTGAAATGAGCCTACTGTTTAGTTTCTTTATATTTTAACCCTTGTTTAACTTTTGATTAGTATGTTTAGTTTTGATTTTATTCATATTTAGTCACTTTTTTAATATGTATATATCTATATATATTTTAATTTTGTAGTTTTGCATGTCATGTTTTTATTATTACGTTTAAGTCATGTTTGTACATTATATGTTAATATGTGTGGTTTTTTTTTTTTTTTTGAAATTAAAATATATGTATATATTTTTTCTTTTGTATTTCAAATTACATGATATTTTAATCATAATATTTATTACTCTTTGCATGACATTCAATCAGCATAATTTGCATGATAGCCTCACGTGAATAACTCGATCTAATCACATAATCGGAATTAAGGGTAATGCCCTTTTAATCTAAAATTATCAGAATGGCTTTTCTTAACTTACAGGAAAGTTGTTTTGACGATTTTAAATTAAAATGGTATCCCGTCAGTAACGCCTAATTAAGTTTGGATATATCATTGTAAAATTTGGGAGCGAAAGAAAAGGAAATATTCGACTATTTAAACTTTTCGAGAAAAGGTCGTTAGAACTGAACTAAAGATCTGGTCTCGATATTTTTAAATAATCGAATATTCTTTATCTTTCTAATGACTTGGTAATTTTAAATTAAATCTATTTTGTTGCTTTGAATGTTGCAAATTTGCATGTTTGTTGTTTAAAGGGATCATTAATCAAATTAAATTTGAACTTGCGAAATTCGTTGCAAAGAAATTAATTAATCAACTAGGTACCGATTTAGGGCGTTGTGGGGGTGCTAATCCTTCCCCACGCGTAACCGACTCCCGAACTTGGATTTTGGTAACGTAGACCGTAAATTTGTCGTTTTAATTAAAATTAATTTTTATTTAAAATGACAACATTTTTGGGTGTCCAATCACACCCTAATCAAAGATTGGTGGCGACTCCTCGAACCATATATTTTGATCGTAAAGGAATTTCCAATTTCTCGAAACGAGAGGTTTTCTAAAATTGCATTGTTTTTAATTAAAATTCGATTGCAAAGATAAATAATTAAAAATGACGCGGTTTCCAAAATCACCCCGCTGTTAAAAATCGTTTCGACATTCCTTGTTTTGGTTCATTATTACAAGAGATTCATTTGCCTAACCACAGTTTTATTTCCACTCCTTCAGCATTCTTTCAGTACATGCATAGCTGCTGCATAGGTTCTCATATGTCATATATGATACGTTTTAATGAAGTAGTTTATTGTTTAGCATAAGATATCACCCTTGCTGACCTTACTTCAGAAATCAGTTTCTTGGTTTTAGACTTCTTATTTGATGGTGTTAGTGTATATCTCTATCTTTTCTGTCCAAGATTGGGCATAGATACTTCTGAAAGAAGAAAGAAAACTATTTAGCTCTGGAGTCAGCGGATAAAATTCAGTTAGAAATGAAGTTTTTATGGCTCTCTTGCTGGTTTATTGTAATTACTGACACACCCTTGGGGAAATAAAAGTTACACACATCCTTCACTGACTTTTGGTGCATTTTATATTTGCAATAATTTATAAAACAAATTATTTGAACCAAATATAGGCCTGCAATTGCTTGGGCATCATGGTTTCTTATAGCTATGGTAGAGGTGGAAGACATGATGGACCTGCAACACACGCCTTGACCTTTGTGTGGAATGGCCATAATGAGGTAATTTGTTTAAGTATGTCTTATTTGTTTTTGCATGGGGCAGTGCCACACAGCAGGAAGAAACAGGAAAAATAGTTTTTTTTTCTTTTCTGATGGGTAAGGAATTGTGAATCCCTCATCCTATGGGCTGTAATGGCATAATCTTCTTCCTGCATTTTTGCGATCCCAAAGGTTTTCCAAGTTCCAACTTAATGAAGGACTTACTCTATAATGTAATCATAATTCAATTGCATCTAGGAATTTAATCCATTGTTGTTACTAAAGTTGAGTGCATATATGACAACTGGTGGTTTGTGAAGATTATTTGGAAGTTCTTGTTTTTGTCTTACCGGGAGAGGATGTCAGCCTAGTCGGAGATTTTACAGGAAATTGGAAAGATCCGATTAAGGCAACCCATAAAGGTGGAGCTAGATGTGAAGTTGAAATTAGGCTTCCTCAAGGAAAGTAAGTGGTGTTCGTTTTATAAATATTTTCCTATGTGCTCTTTAGTTTTCAAACTCTCCCCGCTTTATTGGAATGATTATTACTACCAGGTGAATGCTAGATCTAATGGTTATCTACAAAAAATTATATTTCATTGTTAATCTAAATACACAAGGTTAAAGAATTTTCTAACTCTTCCAAACATGATGCAATTGGTTAATATGATATTTTCCGATTAAAACCAAGGTGTCTCGTAAATACAAATTTGGTTTCAAATTTCAAACCTAGTGAGAGAAGCTCCCGCTTCTCTCTTGGTTTAAGGTGATTTTTCTTTCATCCATCATTTCATCTTTTCCATCGCAGTCCGCCGACGTTCATCCTCGCCGTTCGCCTTCCACCATCCGTCGTCCACCGTCTGCCGTCCGTCGTCCACCGCCACACTCCGTCATCCGTTCGCCGCCTTTCTATGTGTTTCAGTCTTTGACCGGTTAGACAAAAACAGAACAAAAAATGGTTCTTCCAAGTTGTTCTCCCGATCTAAACCACCTTTGAGGGTCTGGTTGTAGGATATCTACGGAGTTTCATCTGTCCTCAGGTTCAAGATCTATCTGTTGGATTCTTTTCTTCACCTACACCCTTCTTTCTTCGCCGGCAGTTACAGCCTTCACCTTCGCCGGGCGCGCAACCAAGATAGTTTCGTCAAGTCTCTGGGGTTTTATCTTCAACAGTTATTTTTCACATGTCGGGTGCTGGAACCCCCCTTCTCTCCAGCAGAGATCTACGGTCCAAGCTCCTTCACCCTCTGCAGCCGCGCCTTCTCCATCATCTCACCCTTCTCATCATGACGAGGTTCGTATTATCTTTATTATGGGTCTGCCTGAAGATGTCAAAGAGAGAGAGCTGCAGAATCTTCTGAGATGGCTTCCAGGTTTTGAAGATTCACAATTGAGCTATAAGGGAGACAAGCCTAAGGGTTTCGCTCTCTTCTCAAATGCAAAATTTGCAGTTGTTGCCAAGGACGCCCTTCAGAAAATGGTTTTTGATGCTAAGTTGAAGTCTCTTTTACACATTGAGATGGAAATGAAGAATCTTGTTTTTAAAAGAGGATTAATTACTGATTCTGATGCTTTTGACAAGTATGGACGTTTTCATGTTCCTCTAGTACAGCCATTGCCAAATCCAGCTTCTGTAGCATCTCCTAGTATTCATGTGCCTGTTAAAACTGGGTGTTGCGTCGAAAAGACTGCAGTTGATGGTGTCCATGAGGGAACCATGGAGTCTTCCACAAAGGTGTGCAGTAATGACAAGTCTGGATGCTACACATTATTTGTTGATAATTTACCAGAGAAGATTCATTGGAAGAGGCTTGGATCTTTATTTCGCTCACACGGTCGGGTACTTGATGCTTTTATTCCAAATAAAAGAAATTCAAAAGGAGTTCTTTTTGGTTTCATTCGATTCGCTTCAATCGAAGAAGCAAAGAGAGCGACCTCAAAAATGAATGGCTCTTATATCGAGGGCAGCAAAATTGGTGTTTCTTTCGCTAAATTCAAACCTCGTCATTCCTATTGGAGAAAGCCTTCGACAGGTGTTCTCTGCAAGTCCGGGATGGAAGATGATTCAAGCAAGAATCATTATAAAGTTGAAGGCGTTATAGATGAAGAAAAACTTCAGGTGTTGAGCAATTGTCTAGTGGGGTGGTGTAAAGACTATCAAAATTGGTCATCTCGCTAGACAAATGCATGCGAAGGGCCTCATTGGCTTCTCCTTAATGAGAGCTGCTGGAAATGGTATTAATGATTTTCGAAGATTCTGCTTCATTGAGAAGTGTGAAGAACGATAAATCAGAGACTCGCAGAGTGGTTCTCTATAGTCGAAGCTTGGTCAGAGAGTTTGGTAATAGAGTGTCGCTAAGTATGGTTAGTTTGCGAGGGTGCTCCGTTTCGCGCATGGAATTGGGATACTTTCAAGAACATTGCTGATAGTTGGGGTCAGTTACTAGCAATCGATGAAAGCTGTCAGTCACCATCATCCTTTGATCGGGCAAAAATTCAAGTCCTCGCAAAGGCTGGTGCGAGAATTGATGCGACGTTGGAATTGAAGGTTGGTGACAACTCCTTCAAGATCATGGTGCATGAGATAGAGCCTTCATTCAAGCCAAACTCTTGGGCTCCTGAAGAAGACGAATCTCATTAGATCTCATCTCTCCAATTGTGGTTTGATTTAGTTTATATGGTTGTAGGTGTTGCTTCTCTTTTGTATTATGTTCTGTTGCGTTGTTTTAATCTTATTGCTGGAGGTGTAATTACAAATAAGGTGATCCGATTGTGACTTTGGATGAGGTTGTATGAGGTTAAGGTGTTTGTTGTAATGGTGTATATCACCATAGGAGGATATTCCGTGTTATCTTTTGTATTGTTTATTATTATTAATAAACTTTGAGGTACTCTTTTCTTCCTTCCAATGTTCGTTAACATACTTCTTAGTATGTGAACGGATACGAAGGGAGTTTTTAATGAGACCTAAAACTTCTATAAAAAAAACTGAGGTGTCTCTTGTACAAGAAGTTTTCTATCGCATGTTATTAATCAGTGGGCGGATGCACTAAGCCCCCATAGGGGCCAAGTGCGATCCCATTATTTTGGAAAAGTGGTTAAATTTAGCTTAATGTGTTAAGGAAAAAAAGAAAAAAAATTACAACTTTTGCATACTCATTATTTTTAAGAAAAGAAAATTAAAATTTTGGATCCCGTTCTTAAATTTCTGGATCCGCCGCTGTTATTAATTCCGATTATCTTCAGATATTACTACAAATATATTATTAATGGGAGCTGGCGGCATTCAACGTCTTCACCAACTGAAAGGGATGAGAGGGGGAACATTAACAATGTTATCATGATTGGTGACACTGCTAGTGTGAGGCCCTCAATACAACCACAACAGAAGGTTAGTCTCTCTTATCATTTTACCGGAAACTTCAGGGCGAGGAGATTTTTATATATTGTAGCTCACTATTATGTGCTTTTGATCTCTTAGGATGCCAATCTTATAAAGGTGATAGAGAGGCCCTTGACAGAGAATGAGCGGTTCATGCTGGCGAAGGCAGCTTGTTGCATTGCATTCTGTCTGTCCGATCAGGTTAGTCCCCAAGTAGTTTTCGTCACTTCAATTCCACAAAGTAATATTTGGTTTGTTATATCCTTGAGACTCAAATATAGCATATGCCGATTGGTTGCGCAAAATAGTCTTTGCCCTTCGGTACGAAGAGACCTGTCCAGTGTAAATCTTACGGCTGAATTTTGTTTGCATTACTTTAATTGGTCTCTTTGTGAATAGAGAGCTTAATGGCTACCCTTAGTAGCATGTGCAAGGGTTTATCATATAGACATACATATGTAGTAAAAGTATTTGTTAAATGTCTGGGTGACGTTTGCTCAATCAGTATGTGAATACGGTCCATTTTACACAAAGCTAATTGCTTCCAAGATTTTTATTGTATTGAATTTTAACAAATTTTGTAAAGCATTCAAGTCTTATTTAATGGTATAAAAGAAGGCTGTAGCCAAATAATAGGTAAAGGTTGTAGATGTTTCGACTCAAATTTCAACCTGTTAGACGCCATCTTTCAAGGGTGGTAGTAACACGAACCATTTGGACTAAACCCGGGATTTGAAAAGAACCAAACCAACTTGGAGTGGAACATTTTGTTCTTTGGCTCATGGTCGCCAATGGAGTGACAATAACATGACAACATTCTAAGCTGTGTGACAAGAGGTAAGCATGTATTTCAAAGTCTAACTACATTAATCTCCCTCACTTGTGTTTCAGTCATCATGTAAAGATGACAACAAAGATGTCCTAATATTTTCATTGCTTTATAATGTTGACATCATTACGAACACCATATGCCAGATATAAGAACGTTTAAATTTCTAACAATAAAAGATCATTTTTTCTGGGTACGAAATTTATGTGTTGACAATGTTACCCTTCTTCAAGTATTCAACTAGGAAAAAAATTGATGCGGTTCTGGCTTTGGAGAGGGAGATGGGTGAAGCCACCCTCGGTGGACTCCCTGGGTCAAATCGCGAGTTACTGTCTGGAAAAGCTCTATTCTATTTATCTAGGCAACCCACGACGATGTAACCAAAGTGAGTTGTTTCTTTCTGAGCTCTGCCTCTACGTTTGATTATCGGGCATCACATTAGATGATCAATAAAATAGTCTACCAGGATTTTGGCAAGCCCGAAATGATCAGATTATTGATTTTTCACTTTACAAATAAACTTTAATGTTGAAATTCATAGCAGCTTATTATTCTGTAGCTGAATCATTAAATTATTTTTTCTTCTTAGTGGTATACCAAGAGGATAATGTCCTAATTATTTTATCTTCTTTCACACATCACATTGGATTTAGAGCAAGGGAAAGGAATTAGTGAGACCTCATTGGGATATGGGACAGTGAAAAATGTGGAGCTTAGACGCAATGAGTAGCAGGCAGAGAAGCCGAGCCATGAAAACCCTGCCCGTCATGTCCCTTCTTCCTACGCCACTTATAAAGATTATCTGATCCTTGGTAGTTTTGTTCCAACTTCACTGCCCCATCTTCAAAAACCATTTATTACTCCTTAGGGTCTAACATACCGACAGCGTGTATACATCACAGATAAAATAAAATAAAATTTTTCGATAATTTTAAGGTGATGGTGTGAGAGAGAAAGAGGATTGTGTGGGTTCGAATCCATGGGGAGAAAAGAGAAATGATCTCCAACGTTCAAACCTCATCTACAAAGGTAGAAGCCCTCATTCACTCGGCTTTCGCTTTCATGATTATGCCCGACGAGTGGTTGTTTGATAATAAAAATATGGTATATAAATCTAGTAAGTTTTATGTATGACATGATCCTCAACGGTAATAATGGCCACGGCTTCGATCCATGGCTGCTGCCTCACCTCCTCCACCGCCACCTCTCTTGCTCAACCTCATAATGCTCTCCGGCAACCCACATTGCGGCGGGCCTCCATCATCGCCACCCACGACTCTTCGACGTCTCCTCCATCCTCATCCAAAATCAGCCTGTCTTTGCAGCATCTCCTCATTTGTTCAACTATTCCAACTGGGTTCCCTTTCTGTATATTTCTTTCATACCTTTTTTATAAGTCAAGTTTGTGTGACGTGTGTTCCATATAGATTCCTATTTTATTTACATATGTGCAGAATCTTCACTCTGTATTACTGTCAAATATATATCAAGCACAAACACATACTTTGGAGAAAATATGGAATCCCGAGTAATATAAATAGTAACCAAATATGATATTGAGATTTTTATTATTTATTTTAGAATAATATCGAGAATTTTGCATGAACGTGTTTGTTTCATTGTGCATGAATTATATATATATATATATATATATATTATCAATAAATTAATGACCATATCTTATTACAAAATTGTTATTATTATAATTATATATAATAACTATTATTAAAAGGATAAAAATGTAAACTTGAATTATATGAAGAAAAAAATTAAATTCTTTGACGCTTTTATCTTATATTTGAACAATTATGTATGAATTACAAAATAAGGATCTCAAATGTCCTCGTCTCCAAAAAACTGTAATTCCTTTACATATATTTTTCATAAATCGACAGGCAAACACATTCCTAGGTGGGTGAGCTGATCCTCAAACGTGATTTTAATCTAAGCCAAGGAAAAGATTTCTCAAAATTCCCATAAATTCTTGTAGCAGCGGAGAGTTTTTTTTTTCCTGGAGAAAGAGAGACAAAAAAATGTTAGTTATAAATCTCATGAACATGAGTTAGACGTTGCTTATTCAGTTTAGGATTGGTTGAAAATTTGATGGTTTTGTATGGAAGGTAATGAAGGCGGTGGTGTGTTTAGGAAAAAATGAAAATTATAAAGTTTTTGGGTAAATTTGATATAAAATTATTGTTCAATGACTTATTTGATGTTTTAGCATAGTTTAAGGGGAAAATTAAATATTAACTTTTTTTAACGTTTTCATATCATCAATTTAACGGAGACGATGGTGGAGCTACCATTTTCTTACAAATCGATAACATTAGTGATTATTTTGGTACTTTTAAAACGCTTCACTCTCACAAATTTGAGTCTAATTATATCGAAATTCAAAAAAATTGTTAAAATTATTGAAATTAAATTATTATTATTATTATTGAAAATATATAAATTTAATTCTGAAAATATAAACATAAAAATATTTTAAAATAATAAAAATAGGAGTGAGAGTCAATTTGGACCAAACTTAACAAATGATTGAAACAACAAAATTTATAACATAAATGCAAAATACGATACATTTATGACATAATAAATTTATTAATAAAAGGCTTAGTAAAAAATCCTAAATTATATTTTTCATTTAGGTGTCTAAACTTTTTTCGATCAATCTAGGTATTTAAAATTACAAATGTTACTATTTTAAATGTTGTAACCATAACAATCATTAAAAAATCAATTAAATGTCACGTGTAGCATTTAAGTAATTTTAAAATTTTTATTTTTTTAAAAAAAACTTAAAAATATTATTATATTAAAAAACTATAATTTCTCTATAATTATTAAAAAAACTCAAATATCTAAAAATCTCTAAAATCTTTAATCATAACCTTAATATTTCCATTACCGGCCTTATATCATCACGTCGTCGGGTCACTTATATAAATACTAAAAATTTGTGTTATTAATACATATACACTAATCCTTAAAAATATTAGTAGATCCATCACTATTGAAAATCATATTTTTAGAGTTAATTTTATTTTTTATGAATTGAACGGCTCTCTGAAAATAAATAAATTGATATCATTATAATTTTATTAAAATAAAAAGAATATATATATATATATATATTAAAAACAAATGAATGAAATATTTATTAGAATTACAGATATATTTATAAATTATTTTTCTATTAATAATACGTCAAATAATTATATATATATATATATATATATGTTGTGTACGGAAAAGCATAATTAGTTATGGCCAATACTTTTGAATCTCCCAAAATGGCCCACAAAAAGAGCAAAGATAACTTCCAGAGAAGCGTAGATCATCATTTCCCACAAGAATATGTGCCACTTCTTTTTTGCAACTCCTCTTTTTCCTATTCACTCGCTCACTCATTGCATGAGTGGTCATAGTCGCAAACAGTTTTATAAAAATATATTTGATATAATATGTTTTTGTCTGTATGTTATTAAAAAAAAGTATATCAAAAGATTAATTTAACAGAAAGAGAAAACAATATGTAGACATTGTCCGATTTAAATATATATATATATATATATATATATTATTATTATTTATTTTTTAGTCCCCATGATTCAACCCAATTATTCACGTTGAAGTTTAATTTCGGGCCCAATCGAAAGAAGACTGCGACAGTTTGGCGACTTCGTTGGGAACTTTAGGTAAGTGAGTCATGCCATAATTAATTTTCGGTTATCTTTTTATGTGAAAATAATAAATTTTAATTTATTTATTCAATTCAATTATTTATCTTTGATTATTTTTCAAATAAATAGTTATACTGACGTTTTTTCAATGATTTCAGATTTTTGAAAAAGTTTTCATATAAGATTTTATACCCGAGCTCCGAACACTTTTAAGTGGGGGTGAATCCGACGCTCTCGTGAGAATTTATTCTCCGTATGGGCATAAGGGAATGTATCATATCGAGTTTAACTTTGTCCACACAAGCTTATAATGGACTTAGGACTAAGGGTCTGGCAAGCCCAATGGGGCACCAACAAGGAGAACTCGAGTACCTTTTTAGGACCTAAACCGGGAGATTATGGAGAATTAGAGCTTACCCCAAAACCTCATTTCAAACCATAGGCTATTTTGAGATTATTTCATGCTTTATTTTTTGTTCAAAGCATGTGAACTAGAAATTTATGCGGTTATGACTTGTTTAAAATTAATATGCGGGATAGAGATCATGTCCGGGTATGAATAATAAGCATGTGGGGTAGATATTATGTGAGGTATGATTTTTTATTTTCATTATTGTTTTGATTATTATCATTATCCCACTAACTTTTTCCTTCATTTTTTTTGTTTTCTTTCATTTTATTTTTATCATTTGCATCATTTAAAAGAGGTGTTGATCTACTAAAACGTGTTTGTTAAA